AAAAGGCGATTCAGTGGCTCATGAATTGACCTTTACTGTATCCTGAGCTACCACGCAACGGCTCAATGAATAAATTTCATGATTAAAACTTTTCCGAACATACACACGGTGTCCATGCGTTGCGGAAAATGTGCAGATTCGTTTCAGTAGGACTTGGCATGAATTAGACTTTCATAAAACGTCAAGACATCAAATTTACACTCGTGACGGAATAACCCAGAAATAAATAAGAAATACAGACGAACTCGCTCGACAGCAGTTCTGTTCACAACGATCTTCTCTCTACAGTACTATATAACGAAATTGTTTTTGGCTCCGTAGGATTTTTTTTTTTCCTCCATGCTACACGGGTTCTCTACAACGAAGAATATTTTTTCTGGTTACTTGAATTTTGTTGTGGAGAGAGTCCACCTTTAAATAATTTCTTTCGTCTTGAATAAAGTATGTCTTCTTTACCCCGTTACTTTGGCTTGAAGCGAGCGAATTGTCTTCAACTTCATTGAACACAGCACAGTGCCCCACCCCGCCTGAGGGATTTTCGCCTTACAGACCAGCTATGCAAGCAGTTTTTCCTCCCTCCCAACAGACTTCTTTTGGTTTAAAATTGGTGTTGACAATTTCAATTTTTTATACTGTATCATGGACTTCGTCTAAACGAATTTTAGTCCAACAGACATCCGTCGCACGAATTAAGTCCGTTAGACGGGGGTTGACTGTACAACGGTAAAATCTCGTTACAACGAATTCGATTGGACTAGTACAATAGCTTCGCCGTCGCGAACAATTCGTAGTGAAGTAACTCATTCAACATTGCGGGTATTTTAGCAGTGAACCTATAGAAAACGGCTTTCTCGTAAGCTTATCATAACAAGATTCTACTGTAACTGTTTTGAACGACCATTCGAGGGGAGTCCATACAATTCACATAATTAAGCCTTTCTCTCAGCCTATCAGCCGAGTAGATTGATCAACTCCAATTCGGCATTCCGACAAAAACGCTTGTTGTAAGAAGTTTTGCAAGTATGTTGAGTGAAAAATATTCTTCATCTTGTGTTAATTTGAGTCATTGGGATGAATTGAAATAAAAGCACAGGGATTTCATACTGAAATACAGTACCCAACAGAACCCCGTAGTTGAACTTGTGTTTCATTTTTGATACAATTTTCTGACTTATTCGGTTGGTTCAAAGATCAAACAACAATATGTACAGTATTAAATCATTAACATTACGATCACGTCATGATTGCAAATTCATCACTGCGCAGTAATTTCTTGATTAGGTTCCTCCTCCATCCGGAACTGGATAAAATTACTGCTTCAAAGGATTTTTATAATTAATTTGTATCCTGTCTCAAATGATCAATTGAGATAAGCAGAGGATCACATATTTCGATAAATTTCAGTAAAACGCATTACGTTTAAAAAATTGGAAATCGTATCCCCTGACAAACGATCATTCTACAGTATTTAAAAAATAAAAATGAATAGTGGAAGCGAATGTTTTTCGTACGATAGTCCCTCCAAATTTGACACTGTTTGCAGAGCAAGCACGTGGTCCCACGTAACCCCAGAGCGGGTTCCACTTCAAATAGCCCGAGGCAAACCTTCTGGTCTTACCCGAAGAGAAAAGCAAAATCAAACAAGAATATCTCTATATTCTCGCTTCCGAATAGAACTTCATCAGTTATAACCTTCAACTTATGCAAGGCGTGGATTATAACCTTGAGCAGCAAGATTGGTGCGACGTGCGTTTCTCGATTATCTCACCACTCACATTTGAAGCAATTTATTCGGAATTCTTGCACAGTTTTCTTATATTTTCATTTGCCTAATTTTAAATTTACCCCGAAATTCGAGTCAAATGCGCAAACAGACTGTTCCTCTGTATATAGAGGTACCAATATGATGGGCAACAGATAATTTTTCAGATAAACTATAACACAAATTAAGTTTTACATGCAGATGGACTTTCTCTACAACGATTTTCTTCGCAAAACGAATTTTTCTTTTGATCCCATAGGCAGGGTTCTCCGACCATCTTATAAGGGTTCTCAACAACGAATTTTCACCAGGTCCCCTGAATTCCGTTGTATAAAGAGAGGATTATCTTTTCTTCAAATATGAAGCCTAACGCATGCAACGTAGAAAGCTTGAATCGAGTCTCAGACTAAATATCAGCATTCCAGCGATTCCGAACATTCAAGTAAATTAAGTTCAGAAGTACAGTATTTCAAAACAAACCACACAAGAACAACGATATCAAACAAAAGTTCGAGCTCCACAAGCAACGTGAAAGAACTGAGCTCTCCAGTAAAAACCGCGGCTTTGTGAAATTAAAAAAAAAATGAATATCAACCGACTTTATGGGATTTCGCGGCCGTTCTGCGACAGTCAAACGTTATCCACGTACTGCATGGAACGAAATGTTCCACCTTGGCCAAAAGCTTCAGCCAGGCGGAACAAACGAGCGCACGAACTCATCCAAACGATCAAACGGACGCGGGGGAAATAAAAAAAGAGGAATTGAAATAACGAACCTCAGTGTTGGCCGAGTTGACGGGCATGATATCCGTGTTGCATCGACGTTAGGATACACTTCCCAATGCCAGCGAGCTGGTCCGAAGCTCGCGTGATTCGCGGCCCCGGCACAAAATTCTCTTTTCAAACTCAACACAGCACAATTTCAGTAGCACAATCCAAATCTGAAAAATTTGGATGAAGAAAATACAGTTGAACCTCCAACGGACTAGCAGAACAAAAAATATAAATCAGGTCAAGGAAACGAGCATTTTTTGTTAAAGAGAAAAAAGGATTACAGGAAATTGTAATTGTTGATATTCTGGGCCTTAAATTGCTTCTTAAATAAGTTGAAAGGACGCTGAACTCGGAGGCGAGGGTTCATTTGCCCAATTAGTCTTTCCCTTCATTTCCAAACAGATAAAGTTAAATTTTTATTCCTTTTCTCTTTCCCGTTTCATCAAAATCATAGCCAATAGGCCAAAAGAAAATTCGAGTTAGGGAGGTTTATAATGCATGGTTTCCAGGGGAATTCAGACAGGGACTTTTGAAACATTCCACCAAGGGAGGTTCGCATAACTCAATTTCAACTGTAAAAGCTCCGCAGTTAAAGAAAAGTGGCTTACGGGAAATGGATTATTTGGGAACATGGGAAACGCACTCCAACCAAAAGCCCAAATGCATGCATATACAGTAGAATTAATTTATATTAAATAAACTTCTCTCATTGTTATACTTCTCTTACATCTTTTCCGGGTTTGGCACGGTCACAAAACCACTTTGAAACAAGCTTGTCACACTCGGAATAGTCAAAAGACAATTATAATTTTCAACTGAATTACCGTAATAAAGATTTAGAATACACATTAAAATTGACAACCAACCATATGCTCCAATCGCCCCTTTATCATAAATATAAGAATTCTGATTTAAAAAAAGGGTTCTTTCAGGCAAATTCAAAAAGCATGAGGACAGAAATCAATTTGAAACTCGACAGAAAGGTTCAGTGAACGAATTAATTATGGTACAGTACTGTACTGTAATTTTTTCTCGTCACACATTTTTGACTGGTGTACCTGGAAATTAGGATGGAGTACGCAATTCAAGAAGAATACCAGAAGAGTATCTTGCTCGATGATTCGACTTTCACAACTGCTCATGCCGAAATTGGGGGAGTGCACGTGGGTCATTTGATCATTACAGGAAACGATATGTGTACATAATTTTTTTCGAAATTGAAATCACACACACTTCATACTCTCTTCCCCGTCGATGGCATATCAAACTAATCGCTGAATATGACGCAAACTGCAGCTAGGCTGAAAGAACCTACGATATCAAATGGGAAGGCATTATCTTTCGCTAGATTAGCCTCGATCTTCAATACAGCTTCAAGCAGCCCAAGCTTCAATACGAACAATCCTGATACTGTACGAGTTAATCCTGAAGATTATTCCCCGTTCAAACGCATTTCCACACAGCCGCGTGAACCGTTTCCAAGATTTTTTTGAAGAGCAGTAAATGCCACGATAGCAACGAAATTCGGCACTTCAAAGAAGAGATAATAAGCAAAAACTAATGACCCGACGGAACTGATCCAAACAACTGGAAAATCTCCACCGTTCAATTCTAGAAAAAAATATGATAAACCGACCGATGATCAGTACGCGCTAACTGCTTTCCTACTTCAATTCACGCTAGCGATGTCCTTATAGTCATCATACAGAACATGATGAACAGTATCGTGATCTTGATAAAGCTTGAACGTGTTGATACATTTCTGTACACAAGCTATGCCAAATTTTCTCAGAGGTCAATTTCGTGGCGGAACTTCTCACAAATTGAATCAGCAAGGACTCGATTCATAAGTACTTAGTCTATCGCAAACTACGCCAAAAATGACAAGGTTTCCTCACAAGCGACGATCCTCACACGATGCTAGAGCGTAGAAGAGTCGCAAGAAACCGTCTTCCAGATGTTTTGCTTTTGTTCAAGATTAAGTGAACGGATTCTACATTCATTCATCGACTGTCTTGTTGAGATGTCGCTACTAAGAATAACCGAACTTGCTTTCTTGCTCACGTACAATCTTAGATCAATCGAGGATGCTTCTGAGAAAACGCGTTAAAGTCTTAATAATAATCTTACCAGTAGCATGATCTTCAGTCGAACGTTCAGACATTTTAGAAGTAATCGAAATTTTTGCTGTGCAAATCAAGCAGCGAATACTGTATCGTGTTTTGAAGACACAGTGGCTTAGTCGATTACAATTTCAAGTCCTAACGCCAGAACACGTACCAACACGCAATGGCCTTGGGAACCGGCCGGTAAAATGGCGATTCATTTATGCTCCTCGATCTGGTCGAGCCACTGCGTTCGAAGAAGTTCGGTGGAGTCGGTCGTCGGATTCGTGTCCTTTCTTCGTCTAATATTGCTGTTGTCCAGTGAAACTTTCACAGATGAATTACCGTAGCTGATTGAAATGTGCTTCTTTCCGTTAGGAGCTAGGACAAGTTGAGTTTAGAACGCATGCTCTTGGAAAGCTATTCGGTTTAACCCGGACGACGGGTCCGTAGTTTTATTTTGATCTATTACCGATTTTACACGATATGGCTGGAACGGAGGATGCGGTCATTGGTTCATACTTCATGTCATGGCTGAAAGACAAACATAGTGACCTCGTCGGCCTGTTCAAGAAGCGACTCCGAACTGTGAGTTGAGAAACGTGTAGAAATTTCAGTGGTGATAAACGAGCTTTTCGATTTAAGGAACCACTCCCCCCTGGATCTCCCACTGTCACCGAAATTTTCAAACATTGGAATGAGTAAGTAATAATTCCGATTGAGTTTTGAATCTAAGTATTGAGCGAACTTTTAACAGAACATCGGGGAAGAAACGAAAGATTTCATTTGGTTCGCCTGGTGGCAAAGCCGTGAAGAAAGCGAGAGTCGAGCCTGACAGTGAAAGCTCAGGTGAGTTCATGTCCATTTTTCATCGATCGGAGTCTTAATGTACTTCCGATTATATATATATGTATCCATGAATGTCCTATAGCGGAGGAAGCAGTTGAGAAGCCTGCGCCCAAACCTCAGTTGAACGGTTCATCGAAGAAGGTAGCGTCAGCTGCCAAGAAACCTGTCCTTAAAGCAGAGAGTTCAGAGGAGAGTTCCGAAAGCGACGAACCTTCGAAATCTGTCGCTAAGAAACCCCCGCCGTCGGCCGCCGCTCTCAAAGGTGCAGTACTGTACATTCGTGTCCCCATTCGAGAAACGTTCTTAAATTCCTGGACTTTCAGTAGGACTCACGAACGATGATGAATCCGATGAAGAAAGCGAAGAGGAGAAAGCTGTTCAGAAACCAGTCTTACAGTCAGCGAAGGTATGCATTGCTTGTACGTATATTGGTCCTAACTCATGAAATGCTTATATGCTCACAGAAACCAGCTCCAGCTGATTCCGACGATGAGTCTTCAGAGGAGGAACAACCCGTGAAGAAAGGTGAGCGGGATTGTCGAAGTATCTTGGACCGTAGTTCAGTAACGTGATGAATAGAATTACCGTTTGATGAGCATGAAAACAGAATCTACTTGGCTGCTTATTTTCGTCTGATCTTTAGTCAAGAAAATTGTTCGTTCTTCCCAAGTTTTCGAGTTCTTTTTGATAAAATTTCTCTTCTTCCTGCAGTAGTTACTTCCGCCGTTAAGAAACCCCTTCAGAAGGCGGAATCATCGGAGGAGGAGAGTGACGACGAGCCAGCTAAACCCGTGAAGAAGGGTACGAGATATTCTACACACTAAGAGCTATCGTTGAAGTGATGAATTGAATTACCGTTTGAACTTGGATGAAATCATATTTTCATTGGCTGCTGGAACGAAGTTCCTTCTGAAAAGATGAAACCGATCGGGTTCTGGTTTTGCGAGATTCCCGTCATAACCTAATTTGTTGTGTCTTTCAGTGCCGACTCCAGCAGTCAAAAAGCCAGTCAAGAAGGAATCGTCGTCAGAAGAGGAGAGTGAAGAAGAGCCAGCGAAACCTGCGAAGAAAGGTAGGAAGCGTGTTCTCCGAAATGGGACTGAGGTTTATTGATGTTCTCCTCGAATTTTCTGTTTGACCTTTTTCATTTACTCGGTAGTGGCTACTCCAGTGGTCAAGAAACCTGTCAAAAAGGAATCCTCTGACGACGAGGAAAGCGACGAAGAGCCAGCTAAACCAGTAAAAAAAGGTGACTAGTTTTTCGGGTATTTACGTAGGACAGTCATGATTTCTTTTACTTGGGATTCGGCTTATTAATTTAAGTTCTTCGTCGATAGTACCGACTCCTACTGCGAAGAAACCCGCCCAGGAAGAATCATCTGAAGAGGAGAGCGACGAAGAGCCTGCGAAACCAGTGAAAAAGAGTAAGTTACATCAGTAGGTCGTCTTCAGAGTTTGGATCACATAGCTTAATATGGCTTACGAAATTGTTAGCGGCAACACCAATGGCCAAGAAGCCTGCGCCAAAGGAAGAATCTGACGAAGAATCAAGTGAGGAGGAGGAGGACGAGCCCGTCACGAAAAAGCCTTTAACAAAGCCTGCGTCCGCGAAAAAAGCAGTTCCTATGGAAGATGACGAGGATGAGAGCGATGAAGATGAGGAGGAGGCTCCAACTCCTAAGAAGGGTGAGTGAACTTGGTGATTCCTGTTAGGAAGTACAACCATGTCGAAATTTGCTTCAAGTCTCCGTTTTTGCGTAAAACCTGAAGTATGTGTACGGCATGGAGATCGACTTGCCGTTCTCGACTTCTGTGGGGATGTACTCTTGGTTGTTTCCCTCTGTCGAGGCGGTGTACAAGTATCGCTTCAAGTCATGACACAAGATTCTTTTGCCTTCCAAAGATACTTTCATCCCAAGTTGCTGATGATGACTGCATTAACTTCTGTCTCACGATTCCAAGTTATTCGTTACCTTTCACTTCGAGGGTTTTTTTGTTTGTTCAAAGAATTTTTGCCACCCGAACATGCTCTGGTTATCTTTTTCGCACTATTTTCAAATATTTTTCCCTCCTGTTATCTTTACCACATTTCATGTCAGAATATTTTGTTTTCCTGAGGTTTGTGCATAAACTTGCCAGTATTTTCTACAGTTGCCAGTGCGAAGAAGCAGGCTGTTGCTGAAGAGGAAGAAGATGAAGAGGATGACGACGAAGAAATGGAAGAGCTTCCGAAGAAGAAAAAACAGCAACAAGAAGTGAGGGTTAACGGAAATGACAAATCGAGTTCCGGCCGCATGTCTGGGGGCTTCGGTGGGAATGGCCAGCACAGAACTAACGAGGCGAGAAAATCTGGTGGCAATGCACCGTTCCGCCGCGTGCGGCCGGAACTGGTCGAAGAGTCGCTCATAATGAACAACTGCTTCAGTGCCAAGGTGATTTTTGTGAAATTAACTCTTCTTTACTTATTATCTCTCTTTAGGAAGGAGAAGATGAGGACGGAGACGAGGAGGGAGAGGAGGCGCCGGCAAAGGCTGGTTTTGGTTGGCAGAATCGCTCCTACGACTCGTCGCCACGTGGCCGTGGTCGTGGGTTTGGCCGTGGTGGTGGTGGCGACTTCGGCTTCCGCGGTCGCGGTGGCGATAGAGGAGGTGGTGGTTGGCGCGGAGGCGGAGACCGTGGCGGCTTCCGTGGACGCGGAGGCGGTGATCGCGGAGGGTTCCGTGGTCGTGGAGGATTTGGTGACCGAGGAGGTCGTGGAGGATTTGGTGACCGTGGCGGTCGTGGAGGATTTGGTGATCGCGGTGGCCGAGGATTTGGTGACCGAGGCGGGTTCCGGGGTGGTAGGGGTGGCTTCCGCGGAGACCGGGGTGGCGGTGACGGGTTCCGCGGGCGCGGTGGAGGCAGGGGTGGATTCAACAAGAGCTTCGATGGAGGAGCCGAGTCGTCCCCTCAGAACAAGCGCAAGACCTTCGATTAGAACCTGCGTATGAGAAGAAAAATTCCTCGGAAGACAAAAAAATCATAAAAGTTGAAAAAAATCTGGTTAACGATGAAGCGATCCAAGTGCCGTCTTTGTTTTTTCTCCTTCAATATCTGCTGTTTTTTCGAAGACACAACGGATCGTCGAGAGTCGAGTGAGTTCACGACGGATGGGCTTCTCCTCTCCCTCCTCGTCCGTTGCTGATATAAAATTTATGCTTAGCAACGGAAGCTAATGACAAATTCGAATCTGAAGGAAAGATGACCAATTTTAAAATTCGTTTCCAGAGGGGAGCTACCGGGTGCTGGGGCGAAAAGGCCTTTCACGACTTGAAATACACGAAAGGAAAGAGTTTCAAGCATGAGAAGACCAAGAAGAAACGTGGAAGTTATCGCGGGGGTGAAATTTCTTTGGCCGTGAATTCCATCAAGTTCGATGATGATGATTGAGCTCGTTAGCCTCTCCTTCGTTTGCCCGACGTTCGTTGTGCTCCTTTTGCGGCAATTCGTTCGTTTTGATGGAACTTTTTTTTAAGGGTTTTCGGGCATGCTTTGCGGGACGTGAAGTGAGGAAGAAAAGCGTTTTGTTGCCGGAAACGTCCTGTCTTCATTTTCTTTCTATGTTGGGAGGTCCGATAAATGATATTAGTGACATTTGAGATTTGACAGTACATACTATGATGTAACTCTTGATTGGTCATTCGAATAAGGAAGTACAGTATTGTAAGTTGGGAAGTGTCCTTCGATAATGGAATATTCTGGTCGTATTATCGTAAAATCATCATCAGTTTCAAACCATGCATCTTTCCGAGAGCTATTGCTGCAAAATCGAAAAGTTTATAAGAACTGTTCGTGGTGAGCAATAAGTCCTGTTAATCGAGGGAGATTGTTATCATTCACTACTCTTAACCTTCATGTGTCGAGGTAGTGATGGGAAATGTCCTCCCTCGAAGTTCAAGAGAAATATGACGAGCTTCATCTCCGAACTTGTTTCCCATTGAATCCAATTCCTCTTGACCACAATACGAACAAGTTCTGTATCTGAATTCACACCAGTTGGAGCAATGGGACGAGGTAAACAAATAATGTTAGGGTATTTGGTTCATGTGCGCTAAGCGTCGATCTGAAGCAGGCGGATATATTTATTTTCGTTGTACATCGGACCTCCCTGACCGATGAGTTGTTCTTTGAAATAATATCGTTGGTTTCATTCCGCAGCGAGGTTTTAACGGCTTTCATTATTTGCTTTTCTTGCTTCTTTCAGGGAATCCGGTTAACTTGAGATGGCGCAGTCAGTGTTGGCCGCGCAATTGAGCAAACTACGAGCTCCACAGACCAGCGTTTATCGCGAGTCTACGCGGAGAGTCTCCATCCTATTCGATCACAAGCAAGCTGCATCAATCGACGGCAAGACCTGTTATGAAATCGGAGTGAATGGCTTCAACCGTCTGGTGGATGTGGACAGTGGATTCAAAGCCTTCAGCACTTCGTTGTTCTCTTCCTCCACGCAGGACTTCGTTCGATCTGTTCAGCGATCGGACATAAATTCGGAATTGGATGTTGTTATCAACGAGTTCTTGCTACGATTGAGTCCGTACTTGCTGCTCCAGCCTGCCCTTGAAGCCCTCGAATGGCTAATCTTCAAGTTAGTGCTTGAATTAAAATACAGCAGCAGAACTCCGATTTTCCGTCCTCAGAATTTTCATGCTTCGCGATTTCCGTACTGTCAGTACATTTCTTTGAGTCTTGGTCATCGATTGATTCATATTTGCTGAGGAATACTGTACTTTATTATCGCATTCGATTACCGTATCTGAAGTAAAGTATTAAATCTGAGCAGTCTCTCTTATCTACCCGGGTAATCGGAGTTCTTGTGTACAAGGGTTGCCCAATTTTCCGCAGTTCTTCGCCATAATCAGTCGGATATTCGGAAACTCCAGATTATCAGATCATTGAAAAAGGTTGCATCGATGCTGTTTCCAGTCTTCCGCGTTTTGATTTTCACCCAAAATTTCGAAATTAGGAATGATGACAGTAGAAACGGCTATCCGCGGTGAATCGCATACAGAACTTCCGTTCAACAATCGAAAGAGGGCCTCCGCTAGTTTAATTCCCAGTCATAACTTTCTCCAGCCATCGGGTTTTTTAAAATCATTCTGAAGCACACTCATGCATTGAGACTAAAATCGAGGGAAAATTAGCCTGGATTTTCGAGCCGGAAGAGGAAAGGATTTTTCTAGATCGTCAGTAGAAAATCAACATGAGAGTAGAGTCACTTGTCTTCGTCCATACGATTCCTTCCATTTGAAATTCTAAGCGGTCATATTTTCTAATTGAGGAATTCAATTACTGCGCTGTCCGTGACACACCTCGTCTTGAAATAAAGCCTTAATGACATGTAACGATATTGTGCTGTATTCCAGGTTTGAAATCCATGTGTACAATGGAGACGCGCTTCTGTCCTGTTTTCTTCCGCACCATGACACACCGTTGTTTGCCCGTGGATTGCAAGTTTTACAGCAAGTTTGCTCCGATCCCAGCCAAGATTTTCATTGGTTAAATAAATACCGTCAGAGCGGAACGCCTGTTCCGAAAGGAGATCTCTACCGGAAATGTGCTCAAAATCCTGGAATCATCGCCTTCATTGGACGCGCAGTTATTTCGACCACAAAGGTAGGGTTTGTGGGAAGTTGCCGATTACGAACGGAAGGTTCTTGAGTTTACCATGATTCGTAGGATCCAGATGAAAGATTCTTCATCGAGAAATTGTTGATCATGTACGGACCCCTTTTCAAAGTTTTCCTGGCTGTCGTCTATGCGTAGAGAATTCACAAGATGAAATTAATCCCAATCACTGTCTCGAATTTATAATTACGTGTCGCTCTTAAGCTTTTTATCAATTTAATTACTGTCGGAAGTGTGTGTGGCTAATCTTCTTTCATGTTGAGTTTTCGTCTTGTTGTTCGTATAATACGAGTTGATTTTCTGGCAGATCTTCCAGAAGAGTACGAATAACAAACTCATCGTCGGCTTGTACGTCCAATGCGTCGCTGGATCGATTGAGTCGTGCAAAAGTGTTCCACATTCGATGGTTAGTATTGCTATAACGACCGGTGATCAAATGTGATTTTCAAGATGCAGAAATATATTCGTTTGTTGCCGTTTAGGTAGTCGTTTTGCTGCCATTTATTCTGAAAGGATTGTCCAACGAGAATGAAGAATTCAGAAAGGCGGCGCACTTCGTTCTGGCTCATGTTATGCTGAAAACAAAGTTGCAGGAAAGCTTCGTTTACGATGTGTTGAACAGATACATAGACGTAAGTTCGATGGTCATTATTTGACTTCTTGGTTTTTAAAATCCTCAGCTGATTTGATTCAACACGTGTCTCCTCCCTGACGCTTGAAGCTACCTCCTGAAAAATTCGTCAAATTCATCTTCATTCAAATGGTTGGAATTAAGTTCGACGAGTTCTTTGCTGAAAGGCTCGGATGCTATGCTTGACACCTTTCCAAGCCCAGCAGGTTTTTGATTGAAGCTGGATCTGAAATCCAGATGTTCAGAGGACTGACAGAATCTATTAAACACACTCACGGAAGGATAGGGCAATTATTCTTCATGAGTTATTTGGAATTCGGTCACCATTTTTTCATGAAGGTCGGCCAGCGTATTCTAAAACATTGATACTGTATTGATCATTCGAAGTACGATTGATAGAAGATTTTTTGTAAAAGTGTTTGATCTGCGAGGAAGTACATGGTCCTGCATGTTTCAGCAAATGTTCAAAATTTCAGTTGGGAACCACTTCTAATAAAATTTCTCGAATTTTCATTTAGTGAGTCAGAGGAAAGGTAAGATCTGTGTTATTTAATTCGTAGACTAGTTATTTACGTTATCTCCAATTTAATGAAGTAATATTTTGGATAATCATTCGAGCTGATCAACTTCCAAAATGTGCGATAATATTGGTACAATGTTCATGTCTGGTAATCGTTTGATACTTTTTGAATGTTGTACAGAACTTCGTATTATCCGGGAAATTTCATCATCTCTGGAAATGCACCTGATCAAGTGCCCGTTTAGTCTGCCGTAATTCAAAAATTTTTATTTATGAGTTTGTTTTTTCTTTCCGACAGCTGATGGGAAAAGAGGTGACTGTACACGACCTTTCAATCCTCTACGTCATAAGCGCCGGTCAAAATTTGAAGTCGTTCCCTTTGGAAAGCGTGCAAAAATTGATGGCGTCCACGAAAAAGGTTTTATCTTTCGGGGATGCTTTACAAAAGGCGCAAGAAGAAGAGAATCTCCCGGTGTTGGCGATAATCAAGCCACTTCTGGACACTTTGCTGACAACTGATGGACGAAGCATTGTTGTGCGCGTCAAATCTTTGCTAGGAATGCTCGAGAGGCTGAGCAACTTCAGTCTCCACGAAGACAGTAGAAGTCTTGAAAGATTCGTTTCGTAAGTTCAGAAAAGATTTCTCGTTTACGAATTTATTTATTTGACGCTTATGAAATTCTCATTCCGCAGTTTCACCTTGTCGAGACTTGTTTGTGCGTTGGAAATTGCGCGTGAGAATGACATGGAGGATGAAATGAAAGTCCAGTTGAAGAAGTTCTGGGCATTCCTCGAGTCCGCATTCCCGGAGGAATTCAATAACGTACTCAGGAAAAAGATGTCTCAGGAAAATTCCGATATTGATGATTTATTGAAGTGCGCGGAAGGACTGGTATGTAGTTCACTTCCAAACACTGTTCCTTCACCATATATGTTTAAGGACCTGAAAAAATGCGACGAATAATTTACGGATCGTCTAATGGTTCATGCGTTTTTTTTTTTTTCGCGTGAATATTACCGGATATATACTGCTGAACCTCGATAACTCGAGCATCCCTATATCTAATTATTTTCAAGTCCCTGTCTGAATTCCCCGAGAAACAATGCATTACAAATCTTCCTAACTCGAAGGCTTTCCCCTTCGAACCTAACTCGAATTATCTGGAGGCCTTTTGGCTATTGTTTTATTGTCCCAGGAAAGAGAAAAACAATGAAAATGTCAATTGATTTGTTCTGAAAAGGAAGAGAAAAACTAACTTGGCAAAGGAACCCTTGCCTCGGAGTTCAGCATACTCTCAGTTGATTTAAAAAGTAATCTAAGGTCCAGAATATCCAGAAATGTTCGTTTCCTGAAGTCCGAACATCCCTATATCGAATTTTTTGTGCTGGTCCCTAGAAGCTCGACTCTGAGAGACGAAACGATACTTGCAAATTTTCGATTTGAGCTATTGTAGTTGTGCTAATATCATGCTGCTTCTTTCTTCGCAGGAAATCGAAAATCTGGGTAGCATCAGCACTCAGGGAACGTTGTTCTTGCGAATGAATCACCCGAGCGTCGCAATCCGTAAAAATGCCTACGCTCAGCTTGCGACCGCTATTAAGCGTTGCGATGAGGTACCCGATGAAGAAGAATTCCCCGATTTTTTGCTCGACTCGTGTGCAAAGGCAGTGGAAACTGAGCTGGAGCCTTCAACTCTTGAGCCGTTGCTTGAACTTGACCCTGGTTTGGTTGCCAGATTGATTCCCGCGGATTCCTTGTCCACTCTGGTTAAACAAGCGCTTTTCTCCTATAAGCCGAAAAGTTCGGTTTTTTTCTTGCCGGCGATGAAAGCGATGCATTTCTCGCGAGGCTATGAAATGGCGAAGGATCCGGAAATGGTCTTGCGACTCTCGGTGTTTTTCTTGCGTTGCGCTGACTTGAAGGTTCTCAAGAAGATTGCGGAGCTGGAATTCATCGCATCTTCGCCCATTTTTTCCGCCATGCCATCCAGTGAGTTCGAATGAAATTGAGAGCTAACGTTTTGTTCCCCCATAACGAAGCTGGTCTTGGGATTTTTTTCTCAGAAACAGACTTTTTCAGACAGATATATATTTTTTTTGGATTGGTAAGAAAGGACTGCGTTTATCGCTTTGGTGTTAGCTGATCGATTTTTGTTATTCCGATGGGGGAAATTGAAGCTTTTGCAATTTTATTGCGAATGATGCCCGGCTTTATGGCCTTAATTGTTTTTTAAAAAATTCTCAAACGCTCTTAATATATTGTATCACGGTATATTACCTTGAACTGTGAAAAAATGATTTTCTGGTTGACTAGGAGGCACTTGAATTAGTGCGTGACTGAGGCCACCTTCCGGACTTTTTTTCCTTAAACAATATGCGTGCTAGTCATAAATGTAGGACTGAAGTACTGTGCAGTATTGTGTTAAAATTAGCCATATCTTTATCTGATACTGTAATTACTCGATAAAAGCTTTAATGAAATTTTTTACAGTGGAAATCTATCGAAACCTTTTGAGTACCCCAGCTGAAAAGTAGGTTCTTGCATTTGCTCTCGTAAAAACGAGATGAACATGAATATTACGGCCATTTTTTAATAATCATTTGCATGAATTATACTGTATTTTACTGTAAATGCGAATGCACTTCCTTTTGTGTTTCTGTGCAATTAAAATTTTTTGGGACCCCATGAATAAAAGATTTCCCCGAATGAATGCAATGCTACGTAAAAAAAAATGGTATAAATGTACAGTATGTTCATGTTTTTTATGTGGATTTCATGATTCATTTTATTCTCTTTCATAAAAATTGAAGTAGGCCTGCAACACCAGTTCAGTGATCTTGATTTTAGCGTTTTCACGAAGTCACATTCTGAAGAAAAAAATCGTTTCTGAGTAACTTCACCTCCCAACATTTGTTTTCCAGGCAACGATAGTTCCCAGTGGACAATCGCAAAACGAGTGGCCTACTTGAAAACGGGATTTTCATCCTCCGATGGCATCTCTGCCCTCCTCGACTGCCTTGAACTAAAAAAGGATAATCAAGAGGATTCTGGATGCGTTGCAGTATTGTACCTCATTGCAGCCGGCATTTTGAATAAGAAACTGATCGGCAAGAACAATCATCTGACAAACTCTGTCATTGTCAAAATCGCCCATCAAATTTTGCTCTTCTTGATCAGAAGATCCCGGAAGGTGAGCGATTTTTTTTTCTTTTCACAGTTTTCTGCGCTCAATCAATTTGTTTGTGCGAAAATCAAGTTGAAAAGACAATAATACTAAGTAGAGACGCTTCTTTTATTTTTATTTGAATTGAACCACGAACATTTCATTTCTTCAGGGCGTGGAGATCAGCGATGAACCGGCAGAAAACGCGTTGCTTGAAGGCACTTGCGATGCTCTCCCTTGGACTGAGGTTTCCCGTATGGCCTCGGGCGTCGCGGACGGCTTACGCGCTGTCGCAACGAGCCCTGAAATCAAAGCTTTGTTGGACAGACCGACTTGGGATGCTTTTCAATCAGGCTCTGATGCTGCGGCTTTGGTGTGTGCCTGGTTGCGGCTGCTGAACTTCGTTTTTCAGATCATCTCTGTTTGTTCGAATGTTCCTGGAAGCTCGGGAGACGGGGAAGACCGTCCTTCTGCTGGGGAAGAACTCGGGGCAGCGTTATTGAAAACTGTGAGTTTTTTTTTTTTTAACTTTAGTGATCTGCGATATGAAATTGAAGTGATATTTTGAGAGAGTTTAGTTCTATTTTAAGTGTACAGTGCTTTACTCCGTTGATACACTCGAATATGTTCCCTAGGTGCGTCCATTTGCCGGAAATTTCACGGTATTGATGGAATAATTTAAATTTTGAAGCATAGAATGGCTAATGTGTCCTGGTTTTCGAACAGGCCTGATAATTCGTTCCAAATCCCTTGTACATTTTTTTTCCGTGTATTCGTAAATATGTTACTACGAAAAGTGAAACTACTGTTCTGCGATATCCCTTATCCGGAGCAAAATGAATTAGCAGTCCGAATCCATTGGGCGAAACATTTTTTTATGATAGGAGTCCATTATCGGGCACATAATACTGTATCTGTAGATGTCCTCCAAATGATCGGAAAGTTTTACCTGCAAAGAATTTCTGTTGGGAGATACTGTAAATCTTCCAGAGCATTTTAAATCGGTCAGATATATTTTCCTCTAGTTTAATCCACTTTTCGAGCTCATGGATCCAATATTGATGAACTATTTCCATAAGCTTCCTTCCAGGTAAAAATTTATTTTTTATGTTTTTTGAGGTACTGTACTTGTCGGTTCACATCTGGGATGGAACCGTGATTTTCAAAAAATTGCTGAAGCCTTCAGGGCAATAATTGACGATCATGATTCGCATTTGTCTTAGAGGACAGCAGTAGCTTTTTCGATACTTCAGAATACACCATCAGATGCCTGTTCGTTCTTTCAACTTTGAAAGCAAGGGTAATGATTGAAATTTTATGAGAATCGTTTCATTCGTTTTTCTTTCAAGGTTGGAGCTCGTCCCGTGTGGAATTTGAAAGCGATACTCGTTGCCTTGCGTCCTCGGTCATGGAATCAGTTCACACCTTCAGTGAAGTTGAAGCTTCGACTTTGCGCATTGCTTCCTCTGATGATGAAGACGTGCCGTTTTTCTGCCGAGGAAGAAGAAACTCGGTCGAATTTTCTTTGCTGTATGGCCGTTTCTCTTATTGCTGACCCACGTCGTTCGCTGCGAATAGCTGGGATAGAATGCGTCGAAGAAATATTGCAGAAGCACGCGAAAAAAGGCGGCAAGAAGGGAGTCAAGGACTGTAAAGTGACGGATCCCGGTTGGGTGTTTTTGCTCAATGGCGTGCTGCACTTGAAGCACGAAATCATTTCCAGCGTCGAGTAAGTTGAACCTTTTTTGCCGTAAGGGTCGAAGTACGAAAGGTGCTGTGGAAGGTTTTGTCAGTGCAGTACTGTACTGTACTGTACTGTACTACGTCTTAGAATGAAATTCTTGAGGTTCCTAAGTATCTGTGACAGAAGTCGCTCAACTCTTGAAACCACTATTGGATCAATAACAAGACTAAAAATGAGGCTTTTTTCACGGTCGAAGATTTTTCCATCTGGAGGCAATTCAACTACAGTAATTGAAATTTTAAGACAATTTTTTCATTCAGCATCATTTACAAGAATATTTCGAAGATCAAGCATTTTTGGTCGTTGAAACAGAATGATCGGTTCTTAGAATTAATCCTTCAATTATTGTATACTGAAGTACTGTATACTGTGTTCTGCATAAATTATACTGAATGTAAATCCAATGCACGGAACACACAAATTTTACTGTTGAAACTCATTCATCAACAGTAAAAAGTTAGAATTTTCATGACAGTCTTCTTTTAATTTATACCAGGGGGAAAACAAATGGAGCTATTCCGAAAATTAAGAAATACTTTATATCATTGAAGATTACGTCCATCTCCGTCTATTCAGAAAAGAATTGCAGACTAATGATTGTTGGGAATCGTGTTTTCCTCACCAAAACTTCCTTCATTCATGTCCAGATACGTGCCGCGAATTTTGCCGCATGCCATCAAAACAGCAGATGCCAATTTTATGGGTCGGCGATCGTTCAAAACAGCTGATACGTCCTCGGAGAAGCTCATTGCATTGATTTGTCAAGTGGTGCAGCAGCGTGACGCCAGATTTTACGTGCGAACAGCTGCTGTTCGCTTTCTGGAAGATTTAACTCCCGTGGTACGTATTTTTAGTACGTCTGCTGGCCGTAGGATTAGGAATTTCGTGAGGATGATGTTGTGAATTGAAAAATATCTTACGGGGATATGCAGTCTAACCTCTTCGAGTCGAATTTCAAGACGCCAGCCACAAAAAAAAAAAAAATCGAGTTGGGGCGTTTTGTTTTTGCGTTAAAAATAGTAAAATTGCAGGAAATCGTAAATGGTGATATTCTGGGCCTTTGAATTGCTTCTCGAATGGGTTGACAGGATTCTGAACTCCTAGGAAAGGATTTATTTGCTCAATTAGTCCTTCACTTCATTTCAAAACAATTAACGTTACTTTTTCATTGATCTTGCCTTTCCTGTGTT